AACAATAGTTTCAAGCATATTTTTATTCCTTTTGAAAGAGTATTTAATCATTAAGTGATTATCATAATCCTTCCGTCTCAAGTATAGTTTAATATTCTTCAAGAAACAGAATAGGGTTTCACCTGATAAAGAAGCGCAATTTATAACAACTTTAATGAAGAGATATTGGTTTAAGCAACAATTAATTGAAATTGTAATTTGTCTGGTTTTAAAAAAAAATTTAAAAATCGATACTCGATGGTGATTCACAATTTCTAGATGTAACTAGACTTTTAAACACGATTAAATCGCTACGTACACATGTTAAAATTGCTGAAAATTCCTAGTTTCTAGTTAATCAATAAGCATTAAAACCCCTTAGAACATTTATTAGAATTAAAACCCATTCATCAACACTAAAACTCTTAACTTAAGCCTACGTATCGGATATAACGTTAGATTTGTAATTACTGGTTATAAGTAGCATGTAATGGAAGATATTTGCTCTCTTGCTGGCCTGAAGGCTGCTTTTGCGTCACTCGATCGGACATGACCGATAAGCCCTCGAGGTAAACATAACAACCTGACTTCCTCGTACCTATGTCTTTGTGAGAGCCGTTATATCACGCAGATAAAGTTAATGTTAATTTCATTAAGTTAATGCATGTAATTTAAAATAATTATATAATGAAATTTTAAGTGTGCTTAGAAAATGTTTGCTGCAAATATTAATTGGTAGAAGTACTTACTTTGCTACTTACTTATTTATTCAATTATAATGGGTGTGATATTATAGTTAGAGTTTGGTTAAATCATGCGGAAAAATAATGCTGGGATCGTTGATATTTACCTTTGGTCAGACATGCGAAATTCATGTTTGTATAACTGCTTCTAAGGTGGCGACATTGGTTATCCCAAACTTATAACTAATAATTTATATAGCTATTAATAACCTTCCTTCAAACAAGGCTAACCAACCCCTACGTTATTTCAATATAAGGCCTAAGTTTTGTTTACGTGTTTGTTTATTTCAAGATCAGAGTTGCCCAATGAACTATCTGTGTTATGTCCACTGTTATGAACCATCAAGGTTATCGATGGCTCACAAGAGGACGTTTTCTTTGATATAAATGTTTATGTTGATTACAGTTAATTGTTGGAACAGATAGGAAATCTTAAGTTGTTTTTTTCATGATCTAATTACACATGTTGTCAAATTCAAAATTTTTGATCAAATTACTCACATAAAATTTTCTTAACCACATCTCATGTTAAAGAAAAGATATTGGAACTTAATGATAATTTGTAAAGATTGATTTGAAACTTGGGTTTATCATACACACACAATGAAACTAGTGATTCTTGTTGCTATTTCTGCAGTATGTCTGTGGTTGATTCTCTCAAAATTTTAAGATTTTTTGTTGCATTGCACTAATTTATTTAATTAACTCATATACTGTTTAATTAAATAATCATTTTATTATATTAACTATCAAACATGAAATCTCTGAAACTTTTAAATGTACGAGAACAGTATAGTCTGCTACTCAGCATGGCGTAAACTGCATATAATACTGGAAGGTGTCTTGTTCAATTATTGCCCATTCCTCATTAGAAGTGTGTTCTACAATAGGTTCACAGATATCGACAGAAGATTACATTTGATAACGTGATGATCAAATTCCATAAATGCTCAATCGGATTGATATCTGTTAGTTATAGTGACTAAGGAAGATGGCTGAATTCATTCTTACGCTTTTTGCACCAACTTCGGACAAGACCAAGGGGGAAGAGAGTCACATTATCATCTTGGAAGAACCGTTTACATAATGGTTAAAAAAAAAGCAATAATGTCATCAGATATAGTGTTCAAGTGCACTCTATATGTTATTTGCCCTTCTAAATAAATCACAAAAGCCTGTTTAGTGCTGTTAGGACATTCCCCTACACCATTTCCAGCAGCCTTAATTTCAGATGAAACGTGACTCATTAGATTACTTCTCACAGTTCGCGCTCTAATCCCTATGAAACCGTGTTCTCATGTTTCCTTCTAAAATAGGCTTCTCCATTAAAGTTTTGGAACGAACTTCGCTTAATATAATTATAATATAATCATTATTGAAAGAATTTGGGATCTATTTTATCCTTTTACTTTCCGATTTTTTTTACCTCGATCTTTTGTCATGGTCTAGTAGCCATGTTTTTTTTTTCTAAATGATATATATATTCTGTTTCGATTTTCACTGTTTACATAGCCTGATAATAGATGTCTGAACATGCGGTAAAAAACAGTCTTTGTTAACGATGTTCCTACCAGAAAGGCACTGAGTGTCATTTCCATTTAAAAATTGGAAGAGATTCTTGCAGACAACATATAATATGACTACACCTCTATATTTATAGGGTTCAAACGATCATCTGATACGTCAGATTGGTATTGTACATGGGCCTGGCATGGCCAATTGGTTAGCATGTCTAAACTGTGAATCAGAGGGTTCAGAGTTCGCCATTCGTTGTCACAAAAACTCACTTCATATTTTGGTGGCGTTGTGCATATGAGAGCAACGGTCAAATCCAACTATTCAATGCGAAAAAAGTAGCCCAAGTGTGTTTGACGGTAGATGCTATTGACTAACTATTGTCCCCCGGTGGTACAGCGGTAAGTCTTCTGATTTACAACGCTAAAATCAGGGGTTCGATTCCCCTCGGTGAACACAGCAGATAGCCTGATGTGGCTTCGCTATAAGAAAAAAACACAGACAAACTGTTTTCCTTCTAGTTTATCAGCTTTGAATTAGATCGGGTATGTGCAAATTGCCTTGAGTAGTTTTGCGCGAAATTTTAAAACATTATCATATACCAATAATTGCAGTTACCTACAAATGTACGTTTGTATTGATGAAGCCCTGTTAAATTACACAGTCATTACACTTTGTATTTTAATTTCTTCTGTATAGTGTGCTGATTATTGATGTTTCACACCATAAATTATCTCCAACATTTTCTTTAATCATACCATATTTTGATGATATACATTTATGATGAATCGTTTCAATATTATAACATTGTTTATTGTATCTTGAAATCTAAGCCCTAGACCCTAGTACAAGAAATTATTTTTTGTGTGATTATTTGACGCAAAAACAGCCAATTTAATTTTAAGTTTTCCTTTTACTTCTTTATTGTAATTACGGGAATGATATAATATTTAAATCGCATCAGGCCTAACTTATCTTCGTTAATACTGCACATCCGTACACTAATTTGTACTTCTTATTGCACACTTGAATACAGCTGTATAGGCTAAGAATTTTTTAGATATGTTAATACTTTTAGAAAGTGTAGTGTCTTGACTGAATTAAACCATATATAAGTTCTATTTTTCGCCTATTGATATCCGTTTTGTCAAAATTCTAATTTATGTGAGCTATTTTATAGTATCAGAATTGCAACATAAATGTACTTATAATTACTCATTCATAATATATATAAAGTTAAGGCACACAAAATAATTAATTATTGACATACCTTTTCTATGAGTACGAATACATCCCTTCCCACACCCCCATTGGCTCTGAAAACTTATAACCCTAAAAATCGGGTTACAATATCCGTGGTGGGCACAGCACAAATAGCCCATTGTTTAGCTTTGCGCTTAACTATAAAAGTACGGATATTTTAAAGTTAGCGCTAAGTGTTGATATTTTAGGCATTAGGTATTTAATGACTTAGTAAAATGGGTGTGTTTTAAAGTGAATTAGACTTTCATTACACCTACGTGTGCGGGCGTGTTTCTGAACTCGATATTTCCCAATCGATTCGTCGCAATTAGTGGAATTGAGAAAGAGAGAGAGAGGCAGTTATTTTTGCTTTGTCTCATAAACAGCGTGATTAGCTTTTACTGGATATTATTTATTATAATCATTTTAGTTACTTTTTTAATACACGTTATATCATTTGGGGCATAAATACAACATGCTTCTATCTGTGTTTATAAATAAGGCAATAAAACAAGATCTAAAACTTAGTAATTTAGTTACTTTTTTAATACACGTTATATCATTTGGGGCATAAATACAACATGCTTCTATCTGTGTTTATAAATAAGGCAATAAAACAAGATATAAAACTTAGTAATTTAGTTACTTTTTTAATACACGTTATATTATTTGGGCATAAATACAACATGCTTCTATTTGTGTTTATAAATAAGGCAATAAAACAAGATCTAAAACTTAGTAATTTAAGTTCAAAGACGTGTCAAGCCATTTAAAACACTAGTAAACTTTCAGGTATATAGACAGGAGACATGTATTGTATTTTATGTCTGAGCACGTGGTTTAAGTATTTGTCTTTTTTACGCTCGTTACAACTATTGATTTATGATTTTATTCGAACATATTTAGGGGAGGTGTTTCCTAGTTCTGTTACAAAAGGCAGTGTATAAATCAAAGAAAAGAAAAATAGTAAAACTTTGACACATTCTTTTTATTATATTTCAATTTCTTTCTCTATCTTAGAGTTTATCTCCCTCCCCAACCCATCACTTAAAATTGTCATGTCCTATTTTTACTGCATTTCCTTGATTTCGTTGCACACGCAACAGATACTTGTTCATTGGGGAGAGTAACTTCTAGAAAAAGGGGTGTAACTGTGGTTCTGTGTAATATTCAAAGTACACTAAAAACTCATATGCTAGATTTGTTTCATTATATTTACCGCGGAAAGCTCCACGCGTAACATTTATCTCTGTCCTATAGCGAAAGGGCGAGGCAGGATGGCTGGCCACTTCATCACTGAATATCAGTAGGATGATCTGGACAACACATGCATCTAGATTACTCCGGCCTTGGACGTGTTCTGGATAATGGGAATTACTCAGTGCATTGTCTCGTGTAGGTCGTGAAAGTAGACAGCAGCGGGTGGGGCTCCTCATGGCGTGTAGCGCCTGCGTTAAGTAGTTCTTTCATTCGGCTAGAGGAACCGACCCACCTGACGGACGACTATAGTGTAGGAAAATACCTACTTGACTCTAGAACCAAAAGCGAAAATGGCATCGTGCATGTTTGTGTTGTTCATGTTTTTGTCTTGGGCTGAAGCGCATCCGACATTGAGTCTTATTGTAAGTACAGAAATAAAATTATTGTTAATTTCATAATGACGTATTTAAGTTTATATATATATTTATATAGTAGCATATAATACTGAATGTATCAATAAGTTTATATATATGTATGTATGTATATAGTAGCTTATAATACTGAATGTATCAATAAGTTTATATGTATTTAGTAGCATATAATACTGAATGTATCAATAAGTTCATATATATGTATGTATATAGTAGCATCTGTTAAACCTGGTTACTGAATTCGTTCAAAATTATCTTCATTTAATGCAACTGAAAAAAAATTATATTCTAGCTTTATCTATAAACACGTTGGTTTAAAAGATACAAAACAAAGGGGAAAAACTTTAAATCTTAACACTGATAAATTGGTGTAATTATTCAATATGCAACTAACCAACCACAAGAAACTCCAATTTTTAATTATAAGTCGTATAACGAAATCCTATATTCATCTTTGAGCTAATATATTTTCTTATATTACTAAATGTTGGAATTCTCCGACGGTTTTGTTTAAAGGTTATTTTAATACGGATGTTTCCGCAGAGCTACTCACTACAGCTGTGTAAACAACAAATCAGGGGACAAAAAATTAACAAACGTCATTAAACCTAGAACTCAGTCTTAACTTATAAACAAAATGGCTAAAAGATAAAATTATGAAGGTCAGACTGATGTTGTTCATTTTGACTCAATTTCTGTTGGATTTTATTTGTGGTTCTTATTACTATAGTGACTTAACAGAATTTAATTTAGCATTTAGCCTTATTCCTAAGAGGTCTATAATACATTGTGTAGACGACTGTCGGTAAGATTTGTCCCGTAAGTATGTATATAGGGACTGATATACTTCGTGTACATTTTCTAATACTGTTATTGAGAATTCGTTACATAAACAGAATGTACAAAATTAACTTCATCTCACCTGAATAGCTTTTACTCGTACCAAAAAAAAAAACACACAAAAAATACTATTGTTGCGTATCTGCTTGTTTGTTAATTTCCTGTATAAATTCTTTCCGAGGAACGTCAGCGATACAAGTATTTTTTAATTAAAACTAGTTTATTCTTTCTCGATACATCTTTGTAATACACAGAATTTCCACAGTCACTCTAAACATAACAACCTTTATAACACAAGCTATAAATCACAGCGATTCACACACTTTACTTACGGTGCTTACTGTTCGCTTGACTCAATTATCTATCTCTTAAATCTATCTATCTCGCTGGCTTTCTTTGCCAGGCTTATATATTAAAAAAGAGGGCGTCTAGCAAACACTCGGACATTCGCGGGATTCCCCGATAATTCTAGAAACTCCAGCGTGCATACTCCCAGAGTCTCGCGACTTCCGCTGTCGTAACACTATTATTGTAGTCTAATGACGAATACAATCAACGAACGTGAAGAATAACAATATAGTTAATGAACGTTTTGGAATACACAAATTCCATCTTCAGTAAATACATAACTATAATTACTAGTAGTAATATGAATATAGATTAAAAGCTTTGTACTACGATAAACCTTTGTGAGGGCAACGTTGAGACTCAAATGGAGGGGAATTGTAAAAAAAAAAAACAGTAAATAAAGTTGGACATAGATCTACATCAAATAAATAAGTAATAAGTATGAGTTAAAACAAACTTAATTCAACAGAAGTTCAATTATTAATGGCATGGGGGGTTTCTTTAATAAGTGGATACTTTATTCTGAAGTTCCTAAACTGTGTTGTTCGTAGCTAAAACTTTAAAATCCGTTGATGAGATTTTGTGTCCAGTAGTTTGACTGTGTGTGAAGAAGAGTAGGGAGATGATAAGGGGTGACCTGTTCTACAGGAAATCCCTGTGTGTTCATGGATGTGTAGAGTTAAATGGCGTTTTACAGCTAACACACGTATACATAAGAAAATAACGCATGAACGAAATGGGATTGGAAAGCAGTCTTTCGAAAGGAATGTGATAAGTTGATTTAACGTCATTTCTCAGTTGAACTTGTGTGTGGTAGTAATATAATAAGTTAGTGAGTTGATTTTTTTTATAATTGATCTCTGTTTACGTAAGACAAAGACACCAGTACTGTAATCCGCTTAATGTTAGTAAGCGGATTAAGTTGTCCATTAAAAAAGTCACAACTGGTGGTTTCAAGAAAAGGTCGAGATAAAGAAATAAGGAGAACAAACGTTAAAAGCTCTAGTACGTAAATTGGTGATCAGGTTCCGTTTGTAGTTAGAGCGAGAGAAGCTGTCGAAGCGTATGTACAAGCCAGTTAAGGTTTTCTTGCGGTATACTGACGTAAAACATCGTTAGCATCATAATGGTTTATAAGGATATCTAAGGTGAGCAGACTAAGGTTGTCTCAATTTCACAAGGAAATTTATGTTGAGATGATAAGTGTTTAGGTATTCTAGAAACTTAAGTGCATGGAATTTAGACCCCTTTGTCCTTAACCAATCAGATAAGATAGTACTGTCTTCATGAGTATCCATTTTTGTGTTGAATGCTCATTTATACCTTAGCACCGCTAATCTATTAGGGAATATGCGGAAAAGCAACGTACTACATCCGGTGATCACGAGAATTATACCGGGGTTAAATCCAAGTATTCATTACTGTCAAAATTATGATTATATAACGTTCGTTTCTCTTCCTGGTTTAAATAGGTTTAAACTAACAATGACAATCAGTTTCTGATTTTCTTAACCAAACCCAATATTTTAAATCATTTGTCTGACTAAACAAATACCTAAGGATAAAAGAAATGAGAATATTATAAGATTTTTTCTGATGTTATATGCACCAAGCTAATATTTTGTTCAAATGTTGTACACTTCCGAAACATACAGCAAACCGTACGATTTTTTATAAGTATTTTTGTTTTGTTTTTGTAGTCTGATTAATTTATTATATTTATTTCATAAACTATAAACTTGACCATATGAAAGAAGGCTTTTCTCTGTTGGTTATTATAGGAAAGTATGTTTAGTGACTTATCAAACAGAACAGAAATTTAAAAGCGGCAGTATATGTTAACAGAAGATGGAAATTATTTCAAGTGAAAAAGTAATGTTTTGCCATGGAACTGTTTGTGAGGGTATAAGACCAAATGAAGAGAAATGATTATATGAAACTGTTCGTGAGTGTATAAGACCAAATGAAGATAAATTATTATATGGAACTGTTTGTGAGTGTATACGACCAAATGAAGAGAAATTATTATATGGAACTGTTTGTGAGTGTATACGACCAAATTAAGAGAAATAATTATATGGAACTGTTTGTGAGTGTATAGGACCAAATGAAGAGAAATTATTATATGGAACTGTTTGTGAGTGTATACGACCTAATGAAGAGAAATGATTATATGGAACTGTTTGTGAGTGTATAAGACCAAATGAAGATAAATTATTATATGGAATTGTTTGTGAGTGTATACGACCTAATGAAGATAAATTATTATATGGAACTGTTTGTGAGTGTACACGACCAAATGAAGAGAAATTATTATATGGAACTGTTTGTGAGTGTATACGACCTAATGAAGAGAAATTATTATATGGAACTGTTTGTGAGTGTATAGGACCAAATGAAGAGAAATTATTATATGGAACTGTTTGTGAGTGTATACGACCTAATGAAGAGAAATAATTATATGGAACTGTTTGTGAGTGTATAAGACCAAATGAAGATAAATTATTATATGGAATTGTTTGTGAGTGTATACGACCAAATGAAGAGAAATAATTATATAGAACTGTTTGTGAGTATATATAACCAAATTATGAGAAACATGCTATAGATAGTCTATTCACGGACATGGCTCTGAAGAGGGAAGTAAAATCAATGTTCCAATGCAGTGTTTTACACTAGTGTTCGTTGATCTCTTAAATAACCATACAGCATTTTAAAGTTTATAAACAACAGTAAAGGTGGGAGGACGAGGTCCAAGTGAACCTGACCCTTCCAGGTCGCACACAACAACCAAATGCCAGTAAAGTGACACAGTGCCGGAAGATAGATTCTGAGTTTTGTGATCGAGTAAGATAGAAGTACCTTCTTTTGGCTTGTTCAAAAAACCATTACAACCGCCAGTCTATAAGCCTACTGTTCCGTCGACGAGGAATTGTTTATCTATTTAAAGTTAAGAACAAAGCTACACAATAGGCTATCTGTGCTTTGCCCACCACGAGTATCGAAACCCGGTTTCTAGCGTTGCAGACATGCCGCTATACCACTGAGGGGCACCGACGAGGAGCTATATTACTTCACTGGCACACAGAACCCTCCTAAGGAGCTATAACGCAAGAAACCTTCATTTTCAACAGACGAACTGTTTTCCTACAAAATTAACTATTAATTTGAAATCGACTTCACTAAGCGAATCCAACTACAAGACTAACGACTACAGTCTTAGTCTCTGAGACCAAGCAACGGTTTTTCAAAATGACGATGAAAACTAGACTAACGTCTCCGTTTCTACTAGTGCAAATCAAAGTGATAGAGACCACTTCCACTAGTAACTTATACAGTAAGTCTATTGTAGGTGGCATTCCCAGTACTAGTAAGCCTAACCTATACTTAAGTCCTAACTTGGATAATTTAATATTAGTTGATAAGAAGGAACTTAGAACTATTACAAAACAAAACGTAAAGTGGTAAGGAGGACTACGGATAGCCATATCTCTCCTGACCAGGTAATAAGTGATAGTGAAATGCAAGTAGCAAATAATGTATCTGAAGAACAAACCACCATCCTGGATGACACAACACAAAATACCAAAAACAAGATAATGATGGCTTCACCCTGATGGCCAAAAAGAAACGAAAAAAATACTCAAACACAAACACAACGGGCACTAGAAAAAATAGTATTCGGTAATCATTGAAGGCTCCTATAAAGATCCGGGACTGGCGGCCGAAATAAGACGAAGTAAAACGAAAATTACAAATATCGAACGCTTAGCTAAAGGCAGCGTACTAATCAAAGGTGCAGAACAGGCTGATCTTAACAGCCTAATAAAAAATTGGCCTAAATATACTTTTAAACCTGGAAAAATGTACATATATTTACCAGGGATGAAGGCACAAACAACAGAACAAATCCGATAAATTCAGAAAGAACTAAGAAATAATAACATTGAATACATTAAAATTGAACATCCTCACATACACAGAAACCAACAAAGAATGTAAAAGTATTTACAGACAACCCCCCGGAATATCCAGAGTTTGATATCTAATGGTATCATTCTCTGATATCAGCGATTTCAGGTGGATGAAACAGAAATGGCCACAGTAGGTGTGACGCAATGTTACAACTACCAACGGTATGGTCATGTAGCTGCAGCCTGTAAATCTCTCCCATAGTTTATTGGTTGTGGTGGAGACCGTCAAATAACCCAGTGTAAAATATAACATGACAGCCCATTTTGTTGCAATTCTAAAGAAATACATGTAGCCACTTACAATAGCTGACAAAAATACAAAGAAATAAAAACAAGAATATATCACATAAATCACAACATACCAGAATCAAACACACAGCACAAAGAAGCAGACTAAAGAACACAAACACAAGTTAAAACACCTCTTCTACCAACACTTGTTATACAAGAAACATTCACACAAACAAAAACCTACGCAGCAGCAGTAACAAATCAGACAAATAACAAACACATAAGTAACAAAACATAGCCACAAAATAAATCCACAAATAACATAAAAGAAACTGCACCCGAAACTAGATCACCACAGCAAAAAAACAAATAATAGAACAAAAACAACAAACCATAATTACCAAAAGTAACCCAATTGTGGAAGCACTTAAAAACACATTTATTGACTTCATTAAAGAATATCAAAATCCCCAAAATAAATAAGACTGTATCACACTCTTAATTATAACAACCAAGAAACACACATACCGATCATACCCTAACTAGTGCAACAGCTCATGGTCACATTTCTTCATTAAAATTCACTGTGCACCATATAAATATCCATGGTAGTCTTGCTTCCAAGAGACATGAGATCGAAGACATATTATCACATACAAATACCGATGTCTTAGTTCTATCGGAAATTAAGCTAAATAAATATAATACTTTAAACATTGTAGTTTATACAACAGTTAGAAAAGTTCTATCGGAAACTACGCTAAATAAATATAATACTTTAAACCTTGTAGTTTATACAACAATTAGAAAAGTTCTATCGGAAACTAAGCTAAATAAATATAATACTTTAAACATTGTAGTTTATACAACAATTAGAAAAGTTCTATCGGAAACTAAGCTAAATAAATATAATACTTTAAACCTTGTAATTTATACAACAATTAGAAAAGATCAATTAGATGGAAATGATCTAAATAGGGGAATTGCTTTAATATATAAAACAACCATATATGTAACACAGATAGAGCTGGAATCAAGTACCTAATGTATAGCAATATATATTCATATCTCACACAACAATTGCATAACAATAGCTGGAATATATTGTTCTCCACAAAAAAAAACAATATATATTAATTTATTAAATAAACTTAACCAGAATAATCAAATTTATTAATCATTGGAGATTTGAATTGTGAACGTCAAGATTTTGGTTGTCATCTAACTGCAACAAATGGAAGAAAAGTGATTGTGTGTTGTTAAACGATTTCACTCCTACACACACAAAGTTCTGATATAATACCAGCGATATATTGGATTTTTGTAAAAGTCCATCAAGTATTAACAATAAATGTTCAAGTTCTAACATTGGTTTTGATCTAGATAGTGACCTTTTACCAATAACAAGTGTCTTCGATCTCGAACCCCATCATAATAAACCTACAAGAAAAACAAATCTTAATTACAATAAAGCAAACTGGGAAATAAATACAGCAGGAAAATCATCTGATATTGATAATTACTGAGTGCCTTACCAAAACTTCAGAACAGTCAATACCGAAACAAAAACAAAATACAGCCCAAACCAGACGGCAACCTCATTCACAAATTATAAACATGATAAAAGACCGCCGCCAACTGAGAATACAGTTTATGAATACAAGAAACCCGTACATCAAAACTCAAATTGACATTCTAAGAATTAAAATAAGAAATGATATAAAACAAGATACTTTGGACAGTTTCTGTTCAAAGCTAAACGATTACACAGAACCGAAAACGTTTTGATCACACCTAAAACGTTTTACAAACTGTCAAAAGACTACTAAATCACATCATAAAATAAGATAGCATATACAAACGAACAAAAAAAACAATGTTTTTAAAGAACAATTGAGAAAAACCTTTAAATCGCATAAGGAACCAGCCATGAACACAAACACTATTTTCATACAGTAAACGAATATTTGGAACAAAATAAACACAAAATTTCCCAGTAATTACAACAAATTCACAAAATTCAAGCAGCATTGATTACGTAAGTAGAATAACACATACACTAACAAAAATTAGAAGTAATTACATATATAAAACAAACCAAAAATAAAGTTAGAGGTGAGGATGGGATACAAGCCAGTATCCTTGAAAAGGGTACTCAGAAATTGTTTGGCCATTGGACAGCATTGTTTAATTTATCTCTCAACTCTGGTTACATACCAACCTTTTGGATGCCAGCAAATGTTATGTTTCTAAAAAAAGGTAAACCAGAAAGTTACCGACCAACTAATCTGACTAATTGTGTAAGAAAATTTTACAAAGAATTATTAGCAATAGGAACTACAATTTTCTAGAGATCACATCAAAATTATCTAAAGTTCAAAATGGTTTTAGAAAATTATGGTAGACAACAGATCATTTATTTGGTTTAACAGAAACCATAATCAGGCAGAAGATAGCACTGTCTATTGTTGGGATGGCTCGGATTGTTCATCGAAATGGTATTTTAAATATCTCCCCAATAGGTCATCAGAACTTTACAATATTACGTAGTGTTTCCTTTTATAACAATGTCTACGCGATGACTGAGTCACAAGTTCTGGGAATGTCTGTAAATATCATAGCATGATAGTTTGAATTTCTTGTTCTTCTGCTTCTTTTTATTACGTGATAACTCATCAAAAACCAAAACAATGGTGCCAACCAAATTCACTGAGAAGACAGTTTCAAACGGAGTATCTGCTTTTACAAGTATTATTAATAACTATTGGATTTTTTTTAAAATCATATTTCTAGTGTAAACGATGGTATTATTACCCCTTGAAGTTAGCTTTCATACAGAAATGTTGTGTGCCCTTTAAAAGCTTAAGTACAGGGTGAAACAGGAATTACTAGCCAATAATAGATAAACAATGAATATTACAAAAGTAAAGAAAATACTTTTCAAAAAAGGAAGTAAATGTAGGTATGGCTAATATCAATCCTTCAAAAACAATGCAAACAAGATAGTAGGAATGGCATTTGCATCATCCCTACATAATAACATAGGTAAGAATTAACATATAGCAATATATATATATATATAACTATTCAATCCCAATTGAGTTTAATTTATCCTATTTTTGTCTGTTAACATTCTACTACACTGTTTCTGGATAAAAGTCACTATTTCCATTTATATTATGTCCTTACTGAATGATATTCACATAAACAGATATAGGATAGAATATAAAGTGTTAGATATTTGATAGGGATATATGTATATATCAGCCATTCAGGCTGTTTTATACGTTTTTTTATCATCTACTTGTAATTATTTCACAATACATTTTACATTACATTGTTTGATATCCAAAATTATATAATTTTCTTAAAGTGTCTTACTTGATTTTTTACGTGCTTAATGTAAAGCTTCCATTGATGTATACATTTTTTGCTTTATTTATATTTATTTTGGACGTCTTTCTTCATTAAACAGGGATGCGACTGTTCCAGTACAGAGTCTTACTCAACTCCTGATTGGTTGGAAACTGATGTTGTCGCAGGTTTTAGAATATGGCAGCTGCTGTTTCTCAGTATTGGAGGATTTATTGTTCTTGGTGAGTTTCAAAACTATGAGTGATATTAATAACTACACATTTTAGCTTACATTAAAACACGTACTATTTATGTTTAACTCTATACATGTTACATATACTTTTGAAAAAATAACAACATATTATTTCAACCACAATTTCATGATAACATTACTGTCAAATTAAAGATACTGTACTATTTAATAATGCCGTAAAATCCAAGAAACAATGTTATCTAACAATACTGTAAAATTAAAGGAAAATGTCAATTAACAGTTCTGTAAACATTTAATGGATTCTATCACGTAAAAGTCCAGTAAAACCAAAAGAACGATGACACTTCACAATGATGCGAAATAAAATGACCAATGTCTCTTAATAGCTCTGTAAAATAAATTGACAATGATATCTAGCAGAGCTGTAAAATTAAAGCGATAACTCCACCTAACATGACTTGAAAATGAAAAGTACAGTGTTGCTTTAAAGTTCTATAAATCAAAGGGATAATAACACCTAACAGTGCTTTAAAATAACGTGACAATGACATCTAGCAGAGCCACAAAATGCAAGCGATAACTCCACTTAATAGGACTTTAAAGTAAAAGGTACAGTATCACTTAACAGTTCGATTCATAGGGATAATAACACTTAACAGTGCTTTAAAATAACATGACAATGACATCTAACAGAGCCACAAAATGCAAGCGATAACTCCACTTAATAGGACTTTAAAGTAAAAGGTACAGTATCACTTAACAGTTCAATTCATAGGGATAATAACACCTAACATTGCTTTAAAATAACGTGACAATGCTATCTAGCAGAGCCATAAAATAAAAGCGATAACTCCACCTAATAGGACTGTAAATTTAAAATAGTGTCGTTTAAAAGTTCTGTAAATCAAAGGGAGAATAACACCTAACAATTCTTTAAAATCTTTTTGAAAATATTGTAAAAATCAAAGGTAATGTGAAATCTAACAATTCGAAAACTATAAATTTATTTTCAGAAATTTAGATTTAATTTTGCGTTTTTTTATAACTTTTTTCCTTGTCGTTTTTCGTGTTTTTAACTTTTCTCGAATATTTGACGATAACAAAAGTTGATTTAATGTTGACATTTTTGCGTAAGATATCAATGAATTTCAATTCACTGGTAAACAAATTGAGGAAACCTTGAGGAAAATGTCTTTACTTTCATTTGATGTGTGTAAGTGAGAACAGTCAATGAATTTCGGTGATAAAGTACAGATCCATTAGTTTGGTGATTTCATCTCCTACACGCCTCTAGTGGTTTGTTTGTTTGTTTTTGAATTTCGCGCAAAGCTACACGAGGGCTATCGCTATCTGCGCTAGCCGTCCCTAATTTAGCAGTGTAAGACTAGATGGAAGGCAGCTAGTTATCACCACCCACCGCCAACTCTTGGGCTACTCTTTTACCAACGAATAGTGGGATTGACCGTCACATTATAACGCCCTCACGGCTGAAAAAGCGAGCATGTTTCGAACCCGCGACCCTCGGATTGCGAGTCGAGCGCTCTAACCACCTGGCTATGCCGGGCCGTCTCTAGTAGTAAGTTGGAGAGTTCAACAGCATTTAAATATTGCTTTCATAAAATACAACTGAAGGAGACCTTTCAAGAATTTTCAGTTAATTTGACTTACGTGTTTCCTACTAATAGTACTGCTTAGTCTTAACCCAATTCATTTTAATCAACATTTTATGGCTGGAAAAAAACATAAGAAGACACTGAAGTAATCAGTGTTCCATTAAATATCCTATCATAATGAATAAAGCTCTAATACTTTAACCAATACCTTTTGCAAGAGTTTACTTCCTTTTTATCAGTAGGCTTGATGATTGTTAAATTAACCAAAACGTTGGAGAAAGGTCCAGTAACAAACACTTTTACGAACATTTACTAATTTCTATGTGTTTTCAAAAACATACTACCTCATGAGAGATAAAACAAAGCTTTGAATTTTAACTTAAATTTACACTTGCAAATCAGTCTCTAGCTTTTATTACTTTTAAGTAGCTCCATTATTTTTCTAAATATTTCTCTTCTATGCTCCCCAGTGACTTAGCGGTATGTCTGAGGGCTCACACTGCTAAAACCTGGGTTTCGATACTTGTGATGGGCACAGCACAGATAGCCCATGCGTAGCTTTGTGCTTAACTACAAACAAACTAACTCTCTTCTATTATTATTCAATACTACCAGTTGTTTAGAAAATACCAATGTTATATTCGTTTGAATGCCTGTTTTATGTTTTAAATGCCTCTATTTTATTCTTATCATTATACATCTGTACTTTTCTTTTAGTCGTATTTTTGTGCTGTGTGATCAAGATCCGAATACCTCGCACTAAACAGGAAATTGAGGTCGAATACCAACGCAAACTGTTAACACATAGTTTCCGTGCACACCTAGACATGCTATCCATGGGTGAAGTGAATTTTGTTACAGGTTTGTCATATTTCTGACTGATATTTTTTTTTCCAGTTGATTTCTATATTAAGATTTAAAACAAGAGTTGCAAGCTTAAGCCTACTTAAAACCGGCCTTGAAAGGTGGAGAGTAAAAGGATCTATTAGTGTACCTTGTTCTCTGAAGAAATGTTTATATGTTTATCAATCTCCTCTGTTCTCTCAATCTCATACATATATACACCTGGAAAAAAGTTAAGCACCCCCGTGTTTTTTTCAAGTGATTCACATTCGACGTTCTTGTGACT